TTTTCTATGCTTTCTTAAGAGTGTTTTCACATTACTACTGCAAATAAATTATCAGTTACTATTAAGTGACTTTAGGTACTTAATTTCTTTCAGTTTCTAATTCTAGGCTTTAAACTCCTTGGGGGCACAAAGCTTACCTTACTCATCTCTGTACTCACCTTACCCAATATAAAGTAATTATTCAACAAACAGCGAATAAATGAAGATAAAGAGGCATTTCTTACTCTATAGTTGAAAAGTTAAACATTAGTGTGTCTAACTTGCTGTACCCCTCTGAATTTGGGCCATGTTAGAAGGCCATTCCTTGTGAGCAGCTCTGTGAATTACACCCTAGCAAATTCACACTTCTCAGAAACAGCCTTCCACTGTGCTTGTGTTCATCCTGCGGGCCATGGCTAAATTAGGTGTTTATTTATACACTACAAATCTGCCAATTCTCTGTTCTAGGATCCCTGAGAGTTTAAGAAAACAAGTTCCTAAAAATGACCATGACAGTATATTCCCAATGGAGATCTAAACTAAAAACTTCAGGTCTTATTGAGAAGATCATTGACACTATAAAAATACAGGAAATATTTGTATATTCAAAGAATAAAACAATAAATACAATAAAATAGATTAGGAAAATATTGTAACATCAAATCTTTCATGAATACTCACCAGCTCTTGATAAACTGGGGAAGCCCCTAAATTTTCACAAGTTGCTTATAAGGTTGCTTGTATTTCTTGTGGATAAAAACCGTATTAGAAAGACATCCCCGTCCTTGCTGGTCTGTCAGTACAGGTGGTCAAAGCCTTTCTGATTTTATGACTAGGAGTTCAGACTCCTAGATTTTGCATCAGTCGGCACACTGAACCAGAGTCTCAGCTGTCCTTCTCACAGACCTCTTCAGAGTCCAATTCTATAACATGCTTTTTCTCATCAACTTTTTATCTTTCCTCAAATTGTCATTGCAAAAATTTCTATTATATTGCTTGCTTTATATTACCTTCTATTACCAGTTGGCAGTTCCTTCTTTTCCTACTTACTCTCAAAAAAAAAAGGACTTATAATTCACATATATTGAAAGGGAAATTCATACAATTGCTAACGCGTACATGACAAATACATGACAAAGCGTGTATGTACAAATACACTAAATTTTTGTGTAAAAGAAAAAAACAGTGCTGGGGCAGGGTTTCTACATGGAGGTCAGTGCTCTCATTCACTTGATGTGTTTACGGACCTTCAGTGGCATCCTGAGGATCACAGGGATTTCCATCTACCACTGATTTGATTGAGAGTCCAGCATGAGAAAAATGAGGCTCTTAAACCTTGATATTCAGACACCATAGCAGCGACTTTAGGCTTTTGATAAGCTTTCAAGTCTGTAAATACAATGTTCATTTACTTTCTTTCCTCTTCAAAATTCAATTTAATATGAAAACTGACTAATCTAATATTCCCATTTTGCTATATTAATTTAGATAAAAATCAGCCAATTTTAAAAATGTGACCTAAAGTATATAACATATGTAGGTCAAAAGAAACTACCACTACCTAAGAATGGGTCTATGCTCATTACTAACAGAGAACAAACAATTAGCAACAATAACATTTATTTGCATAATTACTTTCTCAGAAATGCTAAAACACATACTTCGCCTCGATGTCAGCTTTCTCTCGTACTGCATGAGCCATCTGTTCAGTCTCAAAGTACTTCTTTTTGCCTTTAGCTAAATCTTTCACTGTCTCTTGTAATTCAGTTTGGATCTTTGTCAACTGGTCCACACACTGTAAAATACAAAAGTACGATCATTATGATTTTAGTTTTCAGGCTTACAGAAAATGACTTTGTCCTAAGGACTATGCATTATGCCTTCAAGATGGAAACCCAGGGGAAAAATCAGTACTTTCAGTGTCCTTCAAATTGCAAATTAAAATCCTGCTATTTCCATCCCAAGTACTATACATCAAACAGTGTCACAGTTTGCCTAACAACCATACACTGAGAAATAACCTGAGTGCTGCTGATGACTGACATTAAGGCAAGATATATATTACGAGCAACTATGAAAAATGTTCTTACTGTTGGAGATATCATGGTAATAAAAGCAAAAACAATAAAGCAATTCTGTATTTCTCCATAATCTTAATAAAGTCTCTCTATATGTTTGGGTAACCAATGGTGCAAAGGGTACTGAAGAATTCACCCCTTAGACAAGGAGTGAAATCTGAGTAGTCTGAGTTGGTAAGTCCAAGGTGAAGAAGAGAAGCAGGAAACCTGGGTACCCCATAACAATTATTACTCAAAACCATCCCCTGCCCAACACCTTGGGTACATGTATACATTTGAGGAGAAGGGATGGACATAACAACTCAATGTTTAGTCAATTAACTTTTATAACATGCTGGGGCCAAAGCAACACTGTTTCAGGACCCTTCTGAGTATCCAAAGGAGATTTACCCCAGTTTGAAGCAAACCACTGAGAAGTTTCACTACCTGAGGTCAGCTTAGAGCAGTTACATCTAAAAACTTCTAAGCCTGAAACAGCACTGGTGGAGACTGGCAAAAGCTCAGCAAAGCAGGAGGAGGAGACACTGGTGAGGAACTATTGTGCAAGGCTGAATAGTGCAGAGGAGGGCAAGGACATCAGAAGAACCCAGGATAAAACAAGAATAAACTTAACCATATGACACATAGGTTAGACTTTCTCAGAAGCTGTTAGGTTTTAAGAAAGGACTACAGGGGAAGAAAGATCTAGAAGATAAAAGCAAAATAACCACTCACATGCACTTAATAAGTGTTAGGCTGTGAAGGAAAAGTTTAAAGGAACACATTAAACAAAACTTTTCCCTGCTGCATGAAACTGGACCTTTGCTCAACTTTCTAGGTCTGTGTTTCAATAGAAATCTGATAAGAAGACACAATGTCTGCTGTGTTATTAGGCAACATTGCTTACAAATCCTGATAGGCAAACTGCATCAATTTGGGATAAACTAAAAATTAACTGTAAATATCTGACAGAAAAGCCATGGTTTGGGGCTTCTGTGAGTATGGTGATTCTTGTATCTCAACATGTCCCTTACAGGGACCCTGGAAGCTCTGTCTATAGAGTTGTCATAAAAAAAATGTTAGTCTTTAAGGGCAAAAGCTGGCCCTGAAAATGTGAGTCTCACTCCCTTGTCCTAGACCTGTCACTTGGAGGACCAAACAGAATGACTGGTCAGCTATGTGGACCAAAACATACAAAAGTGGGAGAAATAATTCCATTAATGGTAGATGCTTCCCTACTGGCAAACTGTGTTTACTATACTCTGTCCTTCTCAGTAAACCTCTTGCCAGGTGTGGCCTATGACAGTCCCGGGAATCTGAATGCTTATTACTTCTAAAAGACCCCTTATAGGCACTGCACAGGTGCTATGTTTTGCACTTTACAGGTATTATCACATTTAATCCTTGAAATGACTCTGTGAAAAAGGTGGTGGTGGTAGTAGTAGTCGTTGCCGTCATCGTCATCATCGTCCCATTAACATGAGAAAAAAGACTCAGGTGTTAAATAACTCTGGGTCACACAGCAAGGATGTGATGATACCATTTACCATGTAACTCATTAAAGTATGTACCCTAGTTCTGTGATGATCATGTTTTTAAGGTCCCTTATAGACACAGTTTATCTTAAAATAGTAAGCTTTTAAAAAATTGACATAATTCACATACAATAAAATTCACCTTTTAAAAGTATACAATTCAGTGGTTTTTAGTATGCTGACAAGGTTGTTCAACCATCACTCTGCCCTAATTCCAAAACATTTTCTTACCACAAAAAGAAACTCTGTATCCATTAGCTGTCACTCCCCATTTCTCCCCACCTCCCAGCAACAATTTATCTACTTTTTGTCTCTATGGAGTTGCTATCTGGGATATTCAGTACAAATGGAATCAGATAATATGTGGCCTTATGCATCTCACTTCCTTTACTTATCGTAACATTTTTAGAGTTTATTCAAGTTGTAGCAGGTATGAGTACTTCATTCCTTTTTATGGCTGAATAGTATTTCATTATAGACAAACTAAAAGCAAGCTTTTATCTTGCAGAAGGAATCTTTCCCCCTAAATTATAATAGTCCTTATCAAATACAAAGCTATTGTTTAATAAATAATATGATGACAACCCGACACTCCCGTAAAGAAGTGCTAAACATCCTAATGCTGTGTTTGCAGGTGTGAAAAGTTAAGAGCAGGCTCCTTGGCAACAATTTGATTTTGAGAACCAAAAACTGGGGCAGGCGCAGTGGCTCACACCTGTAATCTTAGCAATTTGGGAGGCTGAGGTGGGTAGATATTTTGAGCCTTGGAGTTCGAGACCCTGGGCAATACATTGAAACCTCATCTCTACAAAAAAAAAGTAGAAAAATTAGCCAGGTATGGTGACAAGCACCTGTGGTCCCAACTACTTGAGAGGCTGGGGTGGAAGGATCACTTAAGCCCAGGAGGTTGAGACTGTAGTCAGCTATGTTCATGCCACTGCACTCTAGCATGGATGACAGAGCAAAGAAAGACTGTCCCCCCCAAAAAAAAAGTTAAAAATATACTCTCTGAATATGATATAGATAACAATAATAGACTTGCTAATAACTTGAATATAGGAATAAAAATAAAAGTAACCTGGACCAACACATCTAAGTCCTACAAACGATTAGGTTCTTTAACCCAGTAATAACACCCTAGACATTTATCCTAAGAAAAAAATTGGAAGAAAAAAGTTCATTTTTAATGCACTTAAAGTACATTAAGATTAAGGGTAATGTCCAAAACCAGAGGTATAATTAAAGAAAGCAGAATAAATGGAAAATTCACAAAATAATAAAAAAATAAACATAAAGGTTATACAGAAACAGGAATAATTAATTAGGAAATTGAGAGAAAAAAGAGTAAGATAATTAAGTAGTCTACTATGGTGAAGGCATACATGTATTTTTCTGTAAACTTGTTTCAGTATTAAGCTTTAAGTGTTTTAAAAGCATTGTATAGGCTTTGGAATTAGGAAGTAGTAGTATATTCAAGTTTCCACTCTGTTATTTACTACCTAAGTCTGTTTAACATTTTAGCCTTAGTTTTATCATTTGTAAAATAATAATACTATCAGGGTTGTTATGAAAAACAAATGAGACTATAATGGATATGGCAGCAGTCTGCAAACTCTAAAGTATTATACAAATGTGAACTACAATATTTCAAGGAAGGTAAGTACACTCTAGTACAAATGTGAAAGATACGGACAAAAGTGTGGTTAAGTAAACACAGAAATGGCAAAAAGCCTTAGGTTATTGTGGCTCTCATTCGTTTTTAAGTAAATACCAGCATACAGAAAATAATTTTGAAAATGCAATAATTTTCATGATCCTCATTATAAACCCAGACTCCTCATAATTGTACTATAACTGTGTTTATCCTCCAAGCATTGTAAAAGAAAACAGCCAAATTAGAGAAAATCTTAAAAAGAACATGAACTTTAAAATGTTACACAGGAAGAATTTTAAGTCAGATTGGTTCTGATCATGACAGAACAACTTGGATCAGACTACCTTCTTCTAGTCTGAAAAGGGTAAAAGTAGGACATAATACATTTTTTTAAAAAACTGCTAGCAATAGCCGGGCACGGTGGCTCACGCCTGTAATCCCAGCACTTTAGGAGGCCGAGGCGGGTGAATCACGAGGTCAACAGATCGAGACCATCCTGGTCAACATGGTGAAACCCCATCTCTACTAAAACTACAAAAAATTAGCTGGGCATGGTGGCGCGTGCCTGTAATCCCAGCTACTCAGGAGGCTGAGGCAGGAGAATTGCCTGAACCCAGGAGGCGGAGGTTGCGGTGAGCCGAGATCGTGCCATTGCACTCCAGCCTGGGTAACAACAGCGAAACTCCGTCTCAAAAAAAAAAAAAAAAAAACTGCTAGCATTAAAGAACACCACTACACACTGGACTTAAAGGACTATGACACCTCTCCCAGGTGAGGAGTACACCAAGGTAAGTTTTAAATTCAACTTGACTTTTTTCCTCAGGGCATTTGTTGAATCATGGCATTAAGAAATAACAGAAACAGAAAGTGGCATTCTTACAAGACTGTGGAAACAGAGGTTGGAGTTGAGGCATGCCAAAAGAACAGGAACTTGAGAGGTAAGGGTCTAGAAAAAGGGTTACTGTGGAAAAGCAAGTCCAGAAATGTGTATGCGATTTCCCCTTGAGTTAATAGATGGCTTCTAAAAATTAGGTGTTGGGTGAAATGCCAAGAAATCCAGTAGAGAACAGTAACCAAGAGGCTAAAGAGTAAGCAGAGATCAGACATCAGAGAACCTATCAGATGTTGAGAAAACAAAGGTTAGAGTTCAAGTCTTGTCAAAATAAAAGGGTCTTCGTAAGCATCCTATACTTTCAGTTAAAACCCTAGGAGTAAGTGAAACAGATTAGCCCTAAAAAGCCTAAAACCAGAGATCCTAACAGTCTCAAGGTGATCTAACAGCATTAATGCTATCTGCCTACCAGCAGAAAACTTAACCCTCTTTGGAAATAACATCTTCCAGAGCCTCTACAATTTTTATCCACAATGTCCAACATTGTGAGTCATAATCAAACAGAAGATCCAAATAACCAAAAACCAAGAAAAAAGAGCAGGCAATTAAAAGAGACTTACAATAATTCAGATAGTGAAATTATACAATAGAGATTAGTAGTAACATTTTTAAGAGGATAAAGGAAAAACATGGAGAATTGTACCAGAAACATGGAATGTATTGTTTAAAAGTCAAATAAAAATCCGAGAACTGAAACGTGCATTGATTCCAAAAGATGAGGGTTTTTTGTTTGTTTTGTTTTGTTTTTGAGAAAGGGTCTCCTTCTGTCACCGAGGCTGGAGTGCAGTGGCACGATCTCGACTCACTACAATCTCTACCTCCCAGGCTCAAGTGATCCTCCTGCCTCAGCCTCCCAAGTAGCTGGGACTACAGGCATGAATGACCACGCCTGGCTAATTTTTGCTTTTCTTTTTTGTGGTGGGGGAAGGAGTCTCGCTGTCACCAGGCAGGAGTGCAGTGGTGCCATCTCAGCTGACTGCAATCGCCATCTCCTGGGTTCAAGCAATTCTCTGCCTCAGCCTCCTGCATAGCTGGGACTACAGGCGTGTGCCACCACACCCAGCTAATTGTTTTTTTAGTAGAGATGTGGTTTCATCATGTTGGCCAGGCTGGTCTTGAACTCCTGAGCTCAAATGATCCTCCCACCTCAGCCTCCCAAAGTGCTGAAACAACAGGCGTGAGCCACCACATCCGGCTCCAAAAGATGAATTTTTAAAGGAGATTCAAAATAGCAGAACAACATATTAATGAACTGTCAGATCAGTTAAATATTCAGATTGAAGTACACAGAGAAAAAAGGGTGGAAAACAGAAAATGATGGAAAAGTAGAAAAGACATAGAGTCAAAAGGTCTAATAACCAAAAAGTCATAATTGGGAGTTAAATGAAATTAATCTTGTTAGAAGATTTTTACATTGTTCATGAGGTGGTAAAATACTAATTCAAGGTAGATTGTAATAAATTAATTTGGGCCAGGCGAGGTGGCTCATGCCTGTAATTCCCCAACTTTGGGAGGCTGAGGCGGGCGGATCACTTGAGGTCAGGATTTCAGGACCAGCCTGGCCAAAATGGCGAAACCCCGTCTCTACTAAAAATACAATAAAATTAGTCAGGCGTGGTAGGACATGCCTGTAATCCCAGCTACTCAGAAAACTGGGGTTGGAGGATCTCCTGAATCCAAGAGGAGAGGCTGCAGTTAGTGAGATCGTGCCACTGCATTCCAGCCTGGGTGAGAGAGCAAGGCTCCATCTCAAAAAAACAAGTAATTTGGAACAAGGTCTGGGGAATAGTAAAATTAATGATTCAAAGTAATGTAATAAGTTAGGGAGGCATATTAGAATCTCTAAGGCAATTACTAAAGGAATAATACAGGATTTAAAAAGTAAGAAGCTAATAGTGGAGGAAAAATTAATAAAGAAGATTAGATGGCTCAATATCACTATCAGTGAAGTACAGATCAAAGCCACAATAAAATATTAATTATCTCACACCTGTTAGGAGGCTATTATTTTTTAAAAAGATAACACAACTTGGCAAGGCTGCAGAGAAACTGAAGCCCTTGTGCACTGTTGGTGGGAATGCCAAATGATGCAACTGCTATGCAAAGCAACTCAGGTCATTTGGGAAAATGAAAAATCTGGGATTGCTACCTTTAAGATTTATAAATCTGGCATGCTGGGGGTCACCATGTGGAGAGAGTTATTAGTGAATGAAGCCATTCAGAAAAGCAGAGCTAATGGATAAAAAGAAAGTCTGGATTCTAATACCATCATCTGAACCCCTAGATCCATCCATGCTTGAAGTCCTTCAATTTTCAGTTACACAAGCAGATACATTTCCCTCTTGGCTTAAGGCAGTGCGAAGGAGGTTTCTGTCATTTGCAGTCTCAGAGCCCTAACAGGTATGTCCAATATGTACTGAATATTTAACAACTGCTTAGATGTAACATAAATAATCAGCTATCATATAAAACAAGTTAATTCACAGACATGAGCGTTTGTTAAATCTTACCATTCTTTTTTTTTTTTTTTTTTTTTTTGAGACAGAGTCTTACTCTGTCCTCCAGGTTGGAGTGCAGTGGCACAATCTTGGCTCACTGCAACCTCCACCTCCCATGTTCAAGAAATTCTCCTGTCTCAGCCTCCCAAGAAGCTGGGACTCCAGGTGCAAGCCACCGTGCCTGGCTAATTTTTGTATTTTTAGTAGAGATGGGGTTTCACTATATTGGTCAGGCTGGTCTTGAACTCCTGGCCTAAGATGATCCACCCGTCTCGACCTCCCAAAGTGCTGGGATTACGGCGTGAGCCATCACACCGAGCCTTACCAAACATTCTTTGCCCAGGGATGTCAGTTAATTTCAGGTCTGAGACTACTTCATCAATGGAAAAGAAAAGCACCAGAGGCAGTTAAACTCTCGAAATATTCTGATATTGAGCAAGTTAGAATTTTCCAGTAATTCAATTAGATCTGATGAATGAATTGGAAATTTGAAATGCAGTATTTCCTCCTGGTTGGGAAAAGATATTAGTATTCTCTGCCCCTACCTTCCACCCTCTTTCTGCACAATCACACACACACACACACACACACACACACACACACACACACACACACACACACACTTTCTTCCAACTCAAAACTGGCCAGTGATCACATAGGTTACTCACTATGTTTGTTTTGAAAGAGATATTCTTTGGCAAAGATAAAACACAGGCATTCTTAAACAAATATGTTTAACAGACTAACAGTAGGTAAGTGTCTAAAGAAACTAACATTTTACATGAAGACACATACACATTTTACATACTGATTTCATGCTACTATAATCATCTTTGGCAAACAGAAAATTCAGGGGTTTTTGGTGGGGAAAGCATTTGTAAAAATGTTCTGAAAATCCGAATGGCAATTAGAATCAAAACACTGGAAGACTTCTACAATATTATTTCCTTAAATACTTTAATATTTTCTTTCTTTTACTTTAATATTTTCTCAAGTATTAATATTTGTACAAGATATTTTTAATTACTTATTAGGCATAATGATAATCTCAATTTTTATAACTATATTTCCAAAAGAATGCAATTCAATCACCTATTTTCAACAGCCAACTTTTCTAAAAAGTCACATTAAACAATGCCATTTTCCTATGAATTTTAATTTCTGTGTAATAAAAGAAATATGTGTATTTGAAAACATTTACTCATGTGTAACCCATATATTTAGAGTCCATCAGGTTTTTTAAAATAAGTTTTTTATACTTAGTCAAAATGTGTCAATTTCCTTTAAATTATTATACAAAATGGGTAAAGTTGAAAGTTAAACAAATTAATGTATATTTGCAAGAACTAGTGGTATTGTAACTATTCTAATATACACCAAACTATATCATTATTGTGAAACTAAGTAGCTCTATATACTTCAATTACATTGAAAAGTTGCATTTCTAAAAAGTATTTACTGAGCTTTCTGAACATCTACAGATTTAAATTACATTCATTTTTAGCAGTTAATATAGTACTTAAGGAGAACATACTGAAATCAGAAAATCCGAATAAAATGTCAACCAGAAACATATGTGACCATACGAAGTTTTAAATAAAATTTAGCATAATCTTGCAGATTACAAATGTAGCACTGATATATTAAAAAGCATATAAGAAAAGAACAGAAATAAAAACAATACCCTTTTTAGTTGCTGTTCTTTTAAGCTTCTCACTGTTCTTGCAGGCTCAGAAATGAAGTTTTTATAGTTTTCACATATATTCATCCGAGATTGGGCTACCTGCATTGTTCCCTCGAGAAAAGACTTCCAAACAGGATACATGCTCCTAAATTCAAAGTAGGATAGAAAAGCATTAATTAGGCAGGGAAGAGGAAGAAAAAGTTGGCTAACCTTTTGCTCACAGGGTAGCACTGACAGAATGAATGAATGTTTCCTTTAATGTATTTATACTGGCTTATAGGCAATATTTCGGCATACATAAGAAGCAACATGGCATATACTCTATTCCTTTTATAGCTCAGCAATCGGAAGTTTTAATTCATTAGCTATTCTTAATAATGGAGTAAAGCGCTACAAGAATTACAAAGCCAACATTATAAAAATTGGTGAACAGTTCAGACTCTCCCAAGTCTTTCGCTGTCACAAGGCCATCATTATGAATATCAAGTTTTATTCCTTCATTAAGATATTTTCCTAATTTTACTAATGAGATAACTAAGGCTCAGAGAGATTTCAGAGTATCACTCTAGGTCACATAAGAAGGCGGCACTACTGAGATACAAGATGAAAACTGGATACCTCTATATATAGTACATTGTCTTTCAATGACATCATATTACTCTTACATAAACTGACGTGGCTGGAAAAATATATCATGAACAACTGTTTATGTGCTTGCAAAGTCTATTTTGTCTGACAAAAGAAATCTTTAATACTGTTGCTCTACATCTGTCTCCCTGTTGTAACAATGCCTAGCCAGCATCACACTGTACTTTGGATTCATTCCAAGCAAGTCCCATCACCTTTGCTTGATAAATGTGCTCAGTCAAGTCAAAGAATTATTAATCCTTTGCTTTTTCTAGCCAATTTCCTCTTCAACCTTCTTTCCTACTTGTTAAACACCTCAGTCAATTCTAGCATGCTCCTACACTATTTATAAACACAATCAATAACTCATAACAATGGTAGTGCTTTATTTTTTAAAATGAGTCTTTAAAATGAAATTCTGATAGATTACAATATTCGTCTCCTGAGATTTCCCTATGGTGAGAAATCCATATCGATTTTCAACCATAGCAACATGTGGGACTATGCTGTACAGAATGCTCGCTGTGGTCAACAGATGACAGTGTAGAAGCAAGAAAAAGAAAAATTGCCTGGATCCCAATCTTGGTTAGAAGTAAAGAAAAAAACTTGATAAACTATGGTTTTCAACCACAGAATCTTACAAATTAGTTCCTGTAATACACCCAATGAATCAATTTAGGTGGAAATATTCATTATTTAGGCAGAGATGTGTCACTGTCCCTTTGGAAAGATTCAGTGTGTTGCACCAGCAAAAACTGTTGTATAAAAGCACTGATGGACTTAAGAACAGCAAAATGAATGCCCTCCATGGCCTCACTGCATGACAACCAATGGAACTTGCAATGTAAACTCACCATAGGCCCTCTCTCCTAAGTAGTCCCAACAATTGATTTTCTCAGAGAATGCACTGAGACAAAAATTCAGTACTATAATTTGTAACTATTAATTTATACTTAAAATACATTTTAAAATCAT